CACTACCACCACCACCACCACCACCACCACCACGACAACCACGCACACACGCACGCACGCACGCACGTGCACCACCACCCACTACGCACGCGCGCGCGGAGCCACAGGTCCGCTACGACACGCGTCCGCGGATAGAGAAAATCAGCGCCATGGTAAGGGATGGGAGGGAGGGGTAGGACGTCAGATATGACGCGAGCGCACCTAGCTTGTCCTTCTCCCCTCCCCCTCCTCCCTTCCAGCGCTGGCTCTGATCACGGACGCCGCCGTGACCAACTTCCATCTGGCTGGCGCTGCGCCGCGGTTCGCCCAGGGCGGGATACTATTGTTTAGTGATTCGCCGAGGGTGTTTCAGAGCACGTTCAGTCCAGTCGTTGTGGGGCCTCCTGGGAGTCTCCTGGGAGCTTCCTGGAAGCTTCTTAGGGGCTTTTTGGAGCCTCTGGGGGGCCTCTCTGGAGCCTCTTGGGGCCTCTTGGGGACGTCTTGGGCCGTCTTTGGGCGCTCTTACGCCGTCTGGCCACTTCGGAGGCCACTTTGGAAGCCCCTCGCGGCCGCCTTGGGGGTCCTCTGTGGCCGTCTTGGGGGCTTCTTGGGCCGTCTTGGAGGGTGTTTTGGCCGTCTCGGGGCCTTCTTGGGCCGTCTTGGGGCCCCCTTGGAGGCCTCTTGGGCCGTTTGGGGGCCTCCTTGGAGGCTGCTTGGGCCGTCGTGGCTTTCTGAGAGCAGAAAAAGGCGAGAACGTTGAAATTGTCCCAGAACTATAGGAAGATCAAAGATTTTGGGCCTTCAGAGGCGCTCTCGGGAGTCTTCTTTGTGCCCTCTTGGGCCATCTTGGGGGCCTCATAGGCCTTCTTGGCGCCATCTTGGGCCGTCTTGAGGCCGTCTTGGGCTGTTTTGGGGCCATCTTGGGCCGTCTTCACGCCCTCTTGGACCCCCAGGAGGCCCAAGGAGCCGAAATCATTGATTTCTTATATGTTTTTGTAGGTTTTTGGGCCCACAAGGGGCCCTCCACCTTTGGGTCGACGGAAGTGGCGCGACTCCGGGGGGGGTTAGGGGGAGAGATAACAATGTAACACAATGCAATATGTAGCAATTACGCAATCATTGGATACATTGGATACGTTGCATTAGGGCTTCCGCTCCGCTGCGCGACCTGCCTCCGGCCACACGTCACTTCCGGACGTGGATTCCTCTCGCTACGCGGGGTGCACGTCCGGAGCACGTACAGTCCAGTCGTTTCGGAGTGTCCTGGGAGCTCTTGGGGTCTTGTGGAGCCCACTCGTTGCCGGACTGCAGGGGATCTCGGCTGCGCCTTCTGGGCGTTTGTGGGGTTCTCTTGGGAGTTTCCTGGGGCCCTTCTTGCGTGTCTTGGGCTGTTTTGGGGCGCTCTGTGCCTCTGCTACCCCTCCCTCCCGCCTCCCGCCATCCCTCCTTTTCCTTCTCCCCTCCCCCTCCTCCCTTCCAGCGCTGGCTCTGATCACGGACGCCGCCGTGACCAACTTCCATCTGGCTGGCGCTGCGCCGCGGTTCGCCCAGGGCGGGATACTATTGTTTAGTGATTCGCCGAGGGTGTTTCAGAGCACGTTCAGTCCAGTCGTTGTGGGGCCTCCTGGGAGTCTCCTGGGAGCTTCCTGGAAGCTTCTTAGGGGCTTTTTGTCGCCTCTGGGGGGCCTCTTTGGAGCCTCTTGGGGCCTCTTGGGGACGTCTTGGGCCGTCTGTGGGCGCTCTTACGCCGTCTGGCCACTTCGGAGGCCGCTTTGGAAGCCTCTCGCGGCCGCCTTGGGGCTCTCTTGGGGTCCTCTGGGGCCGTCTTGGGGGCTTCTTGGGCCGTCTTGGAGGCGTTTTTTGGCCGTCTCGGGGCCCTCTTGGGCCGTCTTGGGGCCCCCTTGGAGGCCTCTTGGGCCGTTTGGGGGCTTTCTTGGAGGCTGCTTGGGCCGTCATGGCCTTCTGAGAGCCGAAAAAAGCGAGGAGAACGTTGAAATTGTCCCAGAACTATAGGAAAACCGAAAATTTTGGCCTCCGGAGGCGTTCTAGGGAGTCTTCTTGGGGGCCTCTTGGACCTTCTTGGGGGCCTCATGGGCCCTCTTGGGGCCATCATGGGCCGTCTTGAACCGTCTTGGGCTGTCTTGGGGCCATCTTGGCCGTCTTGAAACCTTCTTGGGGCCCCAAGAGGCCCAAGGAGCCGAAGTCATTGATTTCTTATAGGTTTTTTTAGGTTTTTGGGCCCACAAGGGGCCCTCCACCTTTGGGTCGACGGAAGTGGCGCGACTCCGGGGGGAGGGTTAGCGGGGGAGAGATAACAATGTAACGCAATGCAATATGTAGCAATTACGCAATCATTGGATACATTGGATACGTTGCATTAGGGCTTCCGCTCCGCTGCGCGACCTGCCTCCGGCCACACGTCACTTCCGGACGTGGATTCTATAGGCTTACGCCACATCCGGTCGCGCGCGACGAAGAGAAGGGCACCCAGAAATGCAAGGCGTGCAAATGATACCCAGGCGAGCGCCGGTGCCACGATCCGTAAAAGTACGACCAACGGGGGTGAGAGCGAGAGGGAGGACGAAATCGATGAATGAGGAGAGCCAAGCAGGAGAAAGCGGAAGAGGAGGAGGAGGAGGCGGGGGAGGGTGGGGGAGAGGCGGAGGAGGGTCATCGGAGGAGAAGGAGGAGGGACGTTTCCGTTTAGAGGCGTGTACTCCTGCCTCTGGTGGCCTTTTGGAAAGATGGCCGACACTTCGGACAGCGTGCGCGTCGCCCTGGATGTCGAGACTCTGTGCGGGTGTCTGGGCCGTGCAATTTGTCATGGCCGTCGGTCCAAACCAGCTTGGTAGGGGGTCAGAATCTGAGGGGTGCTTCGCGGGGTCTCTTCGGAACGCTATGGAGGCGGGGGCAATGTCAGATGATGGAGGGATACTGCGTGGTCAGTGCGTTTCTCGTGGCTGACTTTCGAAGTGTTCGCAGTGCAGACATGGAGAAATACCTGCGAACACCCGCGCTCGTAGACGGCAGGTGTCGGTCCAAGATCCGGACGAGTGGTTCTCGAATGGGACGCGGCGCATCCTGCCACCTTGCTTGGGTTGCATGTGTGCGGCCACACGGATGGTTAAGAGGATCTCGTGGAGAGCCGGACGGGGTCGTTTTGCAGGTCGTTGGGGCCTCTTGGGGTCTTCCTTGGGGCCTCTTGGAGGCCTCGGAGGTTGTCTTGGAGGTCCCTCAGGGCCTTGTGGGGTGTTCTTGGAGCAGGTTGGGGGCGTCATGGGGCCGAAGGCTCGAAAAGGTGCCCTCTGGATGGACTCCGTCTTGGAGCCGTCTGGGGGCCCTCTTGGGCTGTCTTGGGGGCTTCGTGGGCTGTTGTTTGATTCTCTTCGGCCCTTTTTTGGGGCCCCTCTGGCCGTCTGGGGGCGATGTTTAAGGTTTTTTCTTGCCTGTCTTGGACGTTGTGAAAGCCGAATAGGCGAGCATGCGACAAATTCTTGGTTTTCAAAAGGCAATTTGCCGATTTCTGTTTTTTGCGACCCTCTTGTGGCGCATCTTGGGGACCTTTTCGGGCAGCTTCGGAGACCGCCTGGAGGCCATCGTGGGCGTCTCGGGGCGATATGTCGGCGAATCGTGGCCCCCGGGGACTGTCTGGGGAGCGTTTTGGTGTCTTTTCGGCCAGTTTTGGAACCCTCCGCTCCCCCGTGGCGCGCTCGGTCCAGGGTCGCGCTGGGCGATGGGGGGGGGGGTCGAATTTCCGGTTTGGGGTCCTTGGGGGGTGGGGGGGGGATCTCACACGCCTAGAGACCCACAAGGGGTCGGCGGATTTGATGGGCACGCCCCCCTGGTCAGCAAATCTCACCGTGTATGTCTAGCGGCTTTCGGTCCATCCCGTCACCGTGCCTTTGTTGTGGGCCAGAATTATCGTGGGTTTTGTTGGGGTCTCTTCGGAGCGCTCTCGGGGGCCTCTTTGGGGGCAGTTTTGGGGCCTCGAGGGGGCCTTTTGGGGGCCTCTTGGGGGTTCTGGGGTCGCCTGGCCCGCTCCTCGGGGGAGGTGCGCGCTTGTACTCCCCCGAGGGCGCGCTACCCAAGTGTGCGCAGGTGGACAGGCGGTTCTTGTTGTACTTTGTTGACCCAGCCGTCCTGTGTCGAGCTGCGCCCTTGTTTTGAATCCGCAGCGCTCCGCGTCTCACTCCCCCACCGTTCCCCCTTCCTGCCTCCTCCCATCCCCGCCCCTGCCCTCCGCGTGTGTCTGTTTCTGCACACCCTTCAACACGCTTCGTAGCCCCATTAAGGAGCTCCACGAGGGCCCCCTGTGGCCACGTTTGCATGAGGGGTCCACGCCCATGTCGGCACACCCCTCACATGGTCCGCTGCACCATAAGGAACCCGACCGAACGCCCCAGTGGCCACGCTTGCATGAGGGGTCCCTGGCCCCCTTTTCCGTCTCATCCGCATTGCTGCATTCGTAGTTTCGCATTGTGATCTCTTTCGCCATGATAATGCGATCTCCGTCCCCTGGAATGCGTCGCGGCCAGGGACCGCTTTCGCGCCACAGGGCAATGTAGAGACACCGCGCGCGGCGACGTTGTGCCTCCGCGGGCGGGGTCGGGAGTTTTGGTGGCCCGCGTCGCAAGGAGGACCACGAGCTCGGATGCCCAGGCCCGACCCTGTGCATCGTCATTTGCAGAACAAGTGGCGTTTCTTTCGCGGCCAAACGGCACACATTGCAACCGCCTTGTGACAGATGACGCCGCGGCAGCAGGATGAATCCTCTTGTTTGATTGGTTCGTTTTCTAACGATGGTCGGTGCAAGGATCGCATCGGACCCTGCATTTGAACGTACGGCCTTTCCCCCATGCGCCCCTCTGGCGCAAGGCGAGACGCTGCCACGGGAAACGCCACCAGAGACGGCGACGAAAATCGCCCTGATGGGTCGGAGTGAAGGCACGGAAGGAGCGCGCAGGCTCAAAGGACGAGCATGAGAGCACGGGAGGGGCACGGGGTTGGGCCCTCTGAACGAGGAGGTCTTCTACCCCGAGACCGTGGTCCAGCACTGCATGGCCGGCTTCACGCACAACGGGCTGCAGCGCGGGGAATGTCAGAAACAGAAGGCAGTCGTCTGGCTATCCCAGAATTCGGAATCATGGGAAACCCGGAATCGGCTCAAAAACCAGTTTTTTCGTGGTGATTCCAGGTTTCCCACAATTCGCAGGCCTTCTAAACAGAAGGATTTGGTGGCCTGCGATTCTTCCCGCTTTTGGAATTCGCACTCGCACTCGCATACGTATTGCATATACGTCGGCCTTGTCTAGGTCTTTCCGGAGTGGGTCGCTTTCAAGACCGGCTCCCATTTATCATTGTTCTTTCGTGGCCAGTTGAACCACGAAGGCTGACAAATAATATTGGAAGCAGTAGTGCTCAGAACTGAACGACGTGTTCCCTCAAGTTCCCTACAGAGGGTGAGCGGCGAACGAACGGCGGACGATCATGAAACACCGAACGTCGAACGAAGGTCGACTATCGACCGTCTAAGACCGCACGTCGATCGAGCACCAAGATACGACGTAACGTTCGGTACTGCTTTTGGAGGGGCTCGTGGTGCCGAGCGAAGACCAAGATTGCCTTTGGCCGCCGTGGCCCGTCGACAGCCCTGAAGGCGGAACGCTCATCGGGGGGGCGCAGTCGTCGATCACCATGAGATGCAAGCCACTCCGCTCCAAGAGATGGCCTTGGGATGCCTTGCGAAGGCCGAGACCGCCTTCGGCCACTGCGCATAACCCAGACTTGCGGAGGATGGGCGCTCGTGAAGTGCATTGTGGCACAGTCGTTAACCAGCTCGAAGGGCAAGCCATTTCCCTCCCTCCCCTCCCCCTTTTCTCCTCTCCTTCTCACCCGCCCGCCTGTTTCCTTCCGCGTCCCCCCTTCGTCCTCGCCAGAACATTTGGCACATGTGCGTACAAGAGGCACGGTATCTTCGAATGGCTTTTCACACACACACACATATATCGGAGGTGAGGGGGTGAGATCGAAGTGGAACGGAGAGCCCCCCTACCGGGAAATCGATTTCGGTTTCGTGTTCGTGCGTGCCGTGCGGGCGAGGCGAAGCTGTGTGGGCGGGCGAGAGGAAAGTCTCCTGTGGCTGAGGCGCGGCCGGACCAAATGATTCTCCGCCGGGCGGCCGGTGGCGCGCGGTGTCCCGCCGGTGTCCCGCTGGTGTCCCGTCGGTGTCCCTGTGGCTGAGGCGCGGCTGGACCAAATGTGTCTCTTCCAGGCGGCCGGTGGCGCGCGGTGTCCCGCCGGTGTCCCGCCGGTGTCCCGCGGTGTCCCGCGGTGTCCCGCGGTGCCCCGCGGCGTCCCGCCGGTGTCCCGCGGTGTCCCGCGATGATGATGATGATGATGATGATGATGATGATGATGATGATGATGATGATGATGATGATGATGATGAAGATGAGATGGTGATGATGATGATGATGATGGTGATGCTGATGATGATGATGCTGATGATGATGACGATGATGATGATGATGATGATGATGGTGATGCTGATGATGTTGATGAGGACGATGATCATGATTATGATGATGATGATGATGATGATGATGATGATGATGATGATGATGATATGATGGTGATGGTGTCCCGATGATGATGATGATGATGATGATGATGATGATGATGATGATGATGATGATGATGATGATGTCGATGATGATGACGATGATGATGATGATGATGATGATGATGATGATGCTGATGGTGTCCCGATGAGGAGGATGATGATGATCATGATGATTATGTTCATGATCATGATGATGACGATGATGGTGTCCCGATGATGATGAGTATGATGATGCTGATGTTGATGGTGCTGATTATGATTGTGTCCCGATGATGATGATGTTGATGATGATGAGGTTGATGATGATTATGGCGTCCCGATGATGATGATGATTTTTCTGATGGTGATGATGATGATGTTGATCATGATGGCGTCCCGATGGTGATGATGATGATGATGATGATGATGTTGATGCTGATGTTGGTAATGATGATGATGGTGCCCCGATGATGACGATGATGCTGATGATGATGATGATGATGCTGATGATGATGATGATGATGATGTCGATAATGAGGATGAGATGATGATGGTGTCCCGATGATGATGATGATGATGATGATGATGATGATGATGATGCTGGTGATGATGATGATGATGATGATAACGATGGTGATCATGATGGTGCCCCGATGATGATACTGCTGCTGATGATGATGATGACGATGACTGTGTCCCGATGCTGCTGATGATGATGATGATGTTGTTGATGATGATGATGATTGTGATGATGGTGATGATGATGATGATGATGATGATGGTGGTGTCCCGATGATGTTGATGACCGTGATGATGATGTTGATGATGAGGATGATGATGATGATGATGATGATGATGTTGGTGTTGATGATGATGATGATGATGATGATGACGGTGTCCCGATTATGATGATTTTGGTGATGATGATGTTGATGTTGATGTTGTTGATGATGATGATGACGTTGATTGTGATAGCGGTTGTGATATCGATAGTGAGATCGACAGTGAGACCGAATGTGATATCGATTGTGAGATCGATTATGAGATCGATAGTCAGATCAATTGTGAGATAGATCGAGTGAGATCGATTGTGAGATCGATCGAGTGAGATCGATCGAGCGAGACGGATACTGAGATCGATAGTGAGATCGATAGTGAGACCGATCGAGTGAGACGTTGGTTCCTCCCCCCCGAACCTCCTTATCACCCAAAGGGTGGTCGTATAGGTATATATATATATATATGTGTGTGTAGAGAGAGAGAGAGAGAGAGAGAGAGAGAGAGAGAGAAAGAGAGAGCGAGAGAGGGAGAGGGAGAGGGAGAGGGAGAGGGAGAAAGAGAAATAATAAGAGAGAGTGTGTGGTTTCCGACTCATCTCGCCACTGCGCCTTGGTTGTGGGTCAGAGGCCTCTTGGATGCCCGTGGGGATCTCTTGGGGGCCTCTCGGAAGCCTCTTGGAAGCAGTCTCGGGGTGTCTTTGGGGCCTGGGGGCCCTCTTGGGGCCTGAATTGGGCCTCTTGGTGGCCTCCTGGGGCTTTGGGGGCTTCTTGGGGGCCTGCTGGCGGTTTCGGAGGTCGTCTTGGGGCGGCGGGCCCGAAAACTCGGTGGCCTTTCTTGGGCCCCTCTTGGGGCCTTCTTTGGGCGCTTTGGGGGCCTTCTTTGTGCCGTCTTCGGCCGTCTGGGGGCCCTCTGGGGAGCCTCTTGGGCCGTCTTGGGAGAATTTGTGGGGCCTCTTGGGCCGTCTGGCGCCGAAAGCTTGAAAAGGCGAGAACTCTGAACTCCTGCACACACCTCAGGGAAATCAATGATTTTGGCCTCTCGGGGCCCTCTTGGGTTGCAGCATCTTGAAGCTCTCTTTGGCGTCTTGGGGGCCTCCTCGGCCGTCTTGAGGCCAATCTTGGGCGTCTTGGAGCGACCTTCGGGCGACTCGGGGCGCTCTTGGACCGTCTTATTCGCTCCAGAAGATTTTGGGACAAGGCCCAGGATTCCCGAGAACGTCCAAGAACGCCCAACCAGGCCCAATAGGCCCTGCCACTTGACGAGCGCTCAGGGTTGAGGACGGAGGACTCGAAGGACCTGAGGACACTCCGTCTCGTGCCTCAGGGCACGGTGGCGGATACAAACACACACGTGATGTATACATACCCAGAGATCCGATGTCGTGTTTTTTTCAATGCGTGGTCCCCGGAAGTCTCGACCGACTCCCCGGGACCGGTTTTTCATCCCGAATCGTTTTTGACGGTCCCACGGCCTGGCGAGGGCCCCTAGAGGCCGAAAAGTGAGAGAAACCTCCGCCTTGATTTTTCAATGCGTTGGATCTCTGGGTTGAAGTCGGGCCTGTCCCTCGACAGGAGGAATATTCGAAAATAGTCAAAAGATATTTTGGGACGACTCTTCGGATTATTTTGCACTATTATGGAGTATTTTTTGAGTATTCTTTATCCTTCGCCCAAAATCCGCCTGTAGGGGGACATGCTCGACCTAACCCTAGAGGCCGCAAAGGGCGAAAAACCTCCGCTTGGATTTTTTCAATGCGTTGGATCTCTGCGTGCACATTGCGGCGCACCGGGCCCCGGGGCGCGGGCCAGGACCAGGGCTACAGGTATGGGTGCCGGGCTGCCCAGAGGGCCCCTGCCAGAGCGCCGGGGGGGGGGGCGTCGAAGAGCGCGCCCAAAGGCAGCCTCGGATCGCCCGACAGCGCGGTTCGAGACCGCCAAAACGTCGTGGCGCCAACATCGCAGAGCGGACTTCGTTCGGAAAGCGATGGGATGGGCCCGGGGTGTCCCAGAGAATTTCGTTCCCGATTTCGAGGTGAATGTCGTGCGGATTTTTGTTGGCCAGGAGTGAAGACCAAACAAAAATCCACGCGAAGTTCACTTCGTTTTTCGCTCGCCGCCTCGGGAAGCAAGTCACGCAGAAAGCCACGCAAAAATCCGCTGCAGCACGTCTGCAAGGCCGGTACAATGACAGATAGACCAGCATTGGCGCCGCACTGCCTTTGCTCCAAGACGCCCCAAGAGGCCTCCACGAGGCCTCCCGAGAGCCTCCACGAGGCCTCCTAGGAGGCAGAAGTCAGTCATTTATCAAGAGTTTTTGAAGGATTTCGGTTTTCTCTTTTTCTTGGCGTCACAACGATCCCAGGAGGCCCGAGACGCCTCTGGGGACGCTCCAATACTGCCGAAGAGGCTGAGAGCCCCAAAACGCCCCGAGGGAGCTCCACGAGAGCCCCGACCCCCCTCCCCTCCGAGCGCGGCAGGCTGCCTTCTGGCCGCGCCGAGTTCGTCACGCAGTGCCAGCAGGAGTGGACGCAGCCCACGGCGGCACGTTCGCCGGGCGAGAGGAGGAGAATGCATGTGGTGGTGCTTGGGAACCCTTTGCGACGGGAGGGAGGGAGGGAGGAGGGAGGCGGGAGGAGGGGAGGAGGAGGAGGGAGCGGGAGGGAGGAGGGAGGAGAGGGAGGAGGGAGGAGGAGGGGGGGCGGGAGGAGGAGGGAGGAGGGAGGAGGGAGGAGGGATGAGGGAGGGGGAGGAGGGAGGAGGGAGGGGGGGGAGGGAGGAGGGGAGGAGGGGGAGGAGGGAGGAGGGAGGAGGGAGGAGGGAGGGACCAGGAGGGAGGAGGGAGGAGGGAGGAAGAGGAGGAGGATGAGGAGGAGGATGATGAGGAGGTGGAGGAGGAGGTGGAGTAGGAGGAGGAGGATGAGGAGGAGGAGGAGGTGGAGGAGGAGGAGAAGGGAGGAGGGAGGAGGGAGGAGGGAGGAGGGAGGAAGGGAGGCAATGACGCCCCGATAAGGGTACTTTGATCATCGGTGCCTGCGCTGCTGTGGTGCTTTTGCAGCCAGTGGCCCTCTGCAAGCTGTTTCTGTCGAGGGCCCTGCTGCCGCCGGTGTGCTTGCGCGCTGGGAGGACGCGCGCGCGCGTGGCCCGCACGGTATTATTTGATAAAGTTGGTGGGCTCGCGTAGTGATTGCACGTGTTCGGCAGGCGCGCGCACGTGGCCCGCCTGGTCCCGCTCAAAAAAGCTAGAAGCATGGCTAAGAGGCTCGTTGCTTCTTTCCAGATTCCAGCGCCTGCGCGCGCTGAATTCTGGCAACTGTCTTTCGCCAGAAGAACAAGTGGATTCCGATGGTGTGTGATTCGCCATGTTTTGGAGCCTACCGAACATTTCCGTTGTTAGCAGCAGCAATTCTGATATCAACGCTTGTGCGCATATGTGCACCGCATGGTGTTGCGCAACATGGGTGAAGGGGGTGGGTGGATACCATCAGGAGCGCCTGAGATGGTATGATGTCGTAGGGAACATGAGCGATGAGGCAGCACCGTACGTGATTGCAGCGCAATGCGGCGAGCGGATACACCCGGGCTCAGGAGGAGGCGGAGTCCATGATCACGTTTGTAGAACCCATACGTGCGATGCCATCTTTTACAAGCTCGCCGTGGTTTGCATCCGCTCCGGTGCGACCTATGTGGTGCAATACTTGTTGTGCAATTCAAGTGGCCGAAGACCTCGAGACGCCCTTCCATGACATCTGCACTCAAGGTCGGATCCCTTAGTCTTAGTCGTGCATGGCTTTGTCCCTGTGGAAGACGCCGAAAGGAAGGGTGAATGGACGGATGGTCGTGGAATGGAAGGCGAAGGACATCCAAATCCTTGACGCTTGGCGTATCTCCGCCAGCCCATCCAGGAAGGAAGCCCGGGGGAGTTGTCTGGAGAGGGGGCGCAGGTCAGCATATCACGTGGAGCAGCGAGGCCAACGATGGCGAAATCGGAGGCTTCGGAGAGCCGCTTGAAACTATCTTGGGGAATGTATGGACGAAGGAGGAGGAGGAGGGAAGGAAGGAAGGAGGAGAAGAGAAGGAGGAGGAGGAGGAGAATGAGGAGGAGGATGAGGAGGATGAGGATGAGGATGAGGAGGAAGAAAAAGAAGAGGATGATAATGAGGAGGAGGAGGAGGAATAATATTAATAATTGTATTAATGATTATACGAATAATACTAGTACTAACCACACTAATAGTACGAATACATAAGAGTAATCATAAGAAGAACGGGGATACTACTAATAATACGACTTGTAAGAATAATGGTTGAAACCACGCATAATACAACGAATAATAATGCTAATGCGAATGCGAATGAGAAAGTTTAGAAGAGCAACGCTAAAACAAAACATATTTATACTACTAAGACTAAGAAGAACATTAATACTAAGAAGAGGAGAGGGAGGAAGGAAATAATCAGGAGGAGAGGAGGAGGATGAGAAGGAGGATGAGGAGGATGAGGATGAGGAGGAGGAGGAGGAGACAGAAACATCAGAGGATGATAATGATGATGATGATGAGGAGGAGGAGGAATACTCATAATACTAGTTGCACTCATACTCATACGAATAACATTAACATTATCCATATTAATAATACCAACACACTAATGATGGTGATAAGAACAGGAAGACTACGAATGCTAAGAATAGTAAAAACAACGATCGCAATCACTACTAATCTTAATAAGAAGAAACACATACCAATACTAATGCGAATGCGACTACGACAGTTAACAACAATATCACTAATATAACACATAGTAATACGACGAATAATACTAAGAGGAGGCGGAGGGAAGGAAGGAGGAGGAGAGGAGGAGGAGGAGGAGCAGGATGATGAGGATGAGGATGATGATGAGGAGGAAGACAAAGAAGAGGATGACAATGAGAAGGAGGAGGAGGAATAGTATCACTACTAGCACTTGTATCATTAATAATAGTACGGACATATTCATACGATCAGTACTATTGATACTAATAAACAATGATAATAATAAGAAGAGTAGGAAGAGCACTACTACTAATAGTAAGCACACCACTGATAAAACACGAATCATAATACGAATGCGAATGATACTACTAATGCGAATGCGAATAAGAACGTTCATGATAGTAACACTAATAATAAAGATAGTACTAATACTGGGAAGACGAATATTAATGATAATAAGAAGAATGCTAATCATGATAAGAATACCAATAATAAGAGGAGGAGGATGAGGAGGAGGAGGAGGAATAGGATGAGGAGGAGGAGGACGAGGAGGAGGAGAGGAGGAGGAGGAGGAGTAGGAGTAGGAGTAGGAGGAGGAGGAGGAGGAGGAGGAGGAGGAGAGGAGGAAGGAGGAACAGAGGAGGATAAATAGGAGGAGACTGAGGGGGAGGAGAAGGAGGAGAAGGAGGAGGAGGAGGCGGAGGAGGAGGAGGCGAAAGGCGGAGGCGGAGGCAGAGGCGGAGGAGGAGGGCGGAGGAGGAGGAGAAGGAGGAGGCGGAGGAGGAGGAAGAGGAGGAGGAGGAGGCGGAGGCGGAGGAGGAGGAGAGGGAGGGGGAGGGGAGGAGGAGGAGGAGGAGGAGGAGGAGGAGAGGAGGAGAGGAGGAGGAGGAGGAGGAGGAGGAGAGGAGGAGGAGGAGAGGAGGAGGAGGAGGAGGAGGAGGCGGAGGAGGAGGAGGAGGAGGAGGAGGAGGAGGAGGGGAGGAGGAGGAGGAGGAGGAGGAGGAGGGAGGAGGAGGAGAGGAGGAGGAGGAGGAGAGTAGGAGGAGGAGGAGGAGGGAGGAGGAGGAGGAGGAGAGAGGAGGAGGAGGAGGAGGAGGAGGAGGAGGAGGAGGAGGAGGAGGAGGAGGAGGAGGAGGAGGAGGTGGAGGACGAGGACGCGGATGAGCCTTTGTGACTCCCTTGGGGCCCTCTTGAGGTCCTCGTTGGGCTGTCTCGGGGCCTTTCAAAGGGGGCCTCGAGGAGGGGCCTTGCGGGGCCCCTTTGGGGGCCATGGCTTTTTTCAAGTCGGGCCTGTCCCTCTACAGGGGGAATATTCGAAAATAGGTAAAACAATACGTCGTCTGGGGACGATGTTTTGACTATGTTTGAATATCCTTTTGCTACTTTTGGTTTTTCTTACAACATCTGCCTGTAGGAAGACATGCCCGACCTATCGATCAAAGACGGTGGTGGCGATCAAGGACGGTGGCGGCGCTCATGTCACCTCCCCCTCTCGGAAGGCCAACATGTCGCCTCTTGGATCTCTCTTGGGGCGCTCTTAGGGCGCCTTTGGGCGCTCCTGTGGCCGGCTTGGGCCCCTCTTGATGCTCTCTTGGGCCATCTTGGGGCCGTCTTGAGGCCCGAGAAGCTCATCGGCAGCGAAAGGGCCAGAAGGCCAAAGCATTGATTTTCCCAAGGTTTCGGACGGATTTTGGCCGCTCGGGGGGGTCCTTGGGAGCTCCGTGGCCACTAGGAGCCGTCTTGGGACGGTCATGGCGCCTCTTGGAGGCATGTTGGAAGGTACCAGTCGAGTTATCCTGGGCTATATTGCGCGATCATGGAGAACATCTTGGGCTAGGGAAGAAGGAAGCTGGAACAACTTATTCGCTAAACCATCTAGCCCAGAGGAGTGATGGTATTGAACAGCTCATGTCCGAGAAGCTCAGTTGAATGAGAGACCGCAAATGGGAAAAGGCTTCGGTCTCAGTTGCTCATCTTCGGCGCAGGCCCTTGATACGCAACTGTAAGGCAGTGGGCCCTGCTAGGCTTTAGTATCATCACGCCCCCAGGCCTCCTCCGCCATTCCTGCCCGTGCTGGACAGGAGGAGGAGGAGGAGAAGGAGGAGGAGGAGGAGGAGCAGGGAGTGCAGGAGGCGTAGGCGCAGATTTTTTGGATTCCGCAGCCTCGGCCGCCCTGCAGGACGGCACCTTCACGCCGCTTGGCCCCACGGACCGCTGCAGGCCGGTCAAGTGCGGCGCGCCCCCGGACATCGGCAACGCCACGGTCGCCCCTTCCGGGACGTATGTCGGGCTGGCGTGGCGAGGCGTGGCGTGGCGTGGCGTGGCGTGGCGTGGCGACAGGGGTTGGCAGAATGAGGTGGGCGATACCGCCGAAAGGCCGTCGAGCTGCAGCTGTGGCGGCCCGCCCTCGTCGCATGCGCGCGCAGACGAGTGCGTCGTCGACGTGTCCTGGGCAGAAGGCAGAGGGACTCGGCACGGAGGTGGGAGTGGGGCAGCGCAGATCGAACCATGGAAGCCAGAAGGGGCAGGGGGGCTCGTCCACAGACTCTGAAGTCTGTAGGCATCTGGCGCCATCCTTTCAGGCCGTGCCTTCAGGTCAGCGCTCCTTTCAGCCAGCCGAGGGGTATTAGAGAGACGGGCGGAAGCTTTCCTTGTTGGCCCCGTGCCCGACTAGTGCTACCGCGCCAGCCCTTGGAGTTGGTCAGGGGCTGGCCAGTGGGTTGGCCAAGCCAGTTGTGCTTGTGATTCGGCCGCGAGGCGTCACACATAGCTTGACTGTTCGCTGAGGCGCTGGGCAGTGAGGCCCCTCTTGGTTGGCTCCCTCTAATAGACGGTGGCTGGTCTCGCCGGCCAGGGGCCCAACATCGGCAGTGGTCGGGCGCGTCGCGCAGATTCCCGAGCTCAGGCCCGAAGCTCACAGGTTCGAGCCTTCCCAGCGCAGAAATGCCGGGGTAGTTGTAAAACCGGGTCTGTCCCTCTACAGGCGGAGTATTCAAAAATGGTCAAAAAGTAGTGCGGGGATGATGGTTTGAATCTTTGTTTGACCATTTTAGATTACTTTTCGGGTATCTTAAATCCCCCTGTATGGGGGACACGCCCGACCTAAGGGTAGTTCGAGGTGGTGGTCCGACATCTGCCCGCTCGTCTTCGCTGTCTTGGTGCACGGCTGGCCCGCTCGCAGCGCGCGCACCACGGAGCGGCACTCGCAGTCGCGTCACTGTGCGGGCGAGTGGCCGCGCCTCCTATCGGGCTCCACGCCCTCTCGGCCGCACGCCGCAGGGCACAAGCTCGGGAGACCCAGGCTCGCTTCTTCCTCGGGCTGCGGCATCTGGGGCCGGGGGACGGCTCGTGCCGCGGTGCAGGAGCATGCCTTCCTGGACGGAGCGACTCCCTGCCCGCGGACCCGGGGGGAAGGAGACGCCAGATTTGGCGGGAGTCTCGGCGGGAGCATGCCGCCCCCTCGCGCGGAGGTCGTGTCTGGCGACGGCACGCTGCCGGAGGAGCTGCACTTCCCAGAGTCGGTCATGTACAGGTGCGAGGACGCGGGGGCAGGAATCTTCGGGGGCTGGAGCAGGTCGACGAGGGCGGTCCGAATGGTTGTCTTGGCGAGGGCCCGCATGCGGGCGCAGCACGAAATCGCAAAGGCCTTGCGGCCGTGTCCTGGGCCCTCCTGGAGCCCCCCTTGGGCCGACTTGAAGCCCTCCCGGTCCGTCCAGGGGCAATCGTGGGCCGCTCTGGCGCCATCCTGCACAGTCCTGGAGGCCTTTCTCGGACCTTCTGGGCCCTCTTGGAGGCCACCTACGAGCGTCTGGAGACGTCTTGGGCCATCTTGGAAGCCACCTTACACCATCTTCGATGTCTGAGAGGAGGGCGTGGCGTGCTGTTCGATGCCTTCTGGGGTCTCCCCGACGGCCGGCAAGTCGGGCCGAAGACACCCGCGACTCCCTTGGGAAGGGGCTGGAAGTGATCTGAAGTCCAGCACCAATGCTTAAGTCGGGCGTGTCCCTCTACAGGAGGACTGTTCAAGAATAGTCCCAAAATGGTCTGGGGACGATGTTTTGAATAATGGTGGACACTTTGGGAGTACTAAAAAAATCGCCACAAATCCGCATGTAGGGAGACACGCCCGACCTAAACCAATGCGGCTGGTACGGGGGCGGCGGATCGAAGACGCTTGCGGCGAATCACCGCCGCCCCCTGCTTTGGAACCGCCTCTGTAGTGGAGTGTCGAGCCAAGCTGCGGCAGTGCTGGTGGACTGCATGTTCTTCCAGCGCTCGGGGAGACCGCTAGGGGAACACTTGGGGAAGGAGGAGGAGGAGGAGGAGGAGGAGGAGGAGGAGGAGGATGATACACCCTCCCTCCAAGCTCCCTCGTCATAGGGCCCTGCGATAATCTATTATTATCTTTGCGGAAAGTGACCCATTGAAAGACAACCGTTTGAGAATCTTCAACAGTGCCAAAACACCGTTCCTGGGACTTGACCGCCGCGAATCAACATGACTGTTGCGTCCTGACTGTCCTACTCCGTGTCAGAAAAGCATTCTTGGAATTTCAACAGCGCGAAACAATGTGACTATTGCGTCCTAGCAGTCGTAAACCGTGCGGAACAGCATTCTTGGAACGCATCCGTGAAATTGCTTCAAAGCTTTAAGACGAATGCGCGCGGCGCTAAGGCGAGAGCCGCATTTTGAAAAGAAGCCGCCCTCCATCCGTGAAGCTGTTCCAAGCTTTCAAAGCGAATGTGCACGGCGCCAAGGCGAGCCACATGCTGAAAACCACCCTTTCTCTATCCTGGACGCTGTTGCAAATTTCAAGCTTCAGGATCATAAATGGTGAGGAAGTCTCAAGTGAAACGCCCGGCCCGCCCTACCGACATGTCTGGGGGTGCGACAGGGAAGGAAACGGGATTGAGGAGGAGGAGGATGAGGAGGAGCAGGAGGAGGAGGAGGAGGAGGAGGAGGAGGAGGAGGAGGAGGAGGAGGAGGAGGAGTAAGATGAGGCATCTCGGGGGCCGCTTCGAGTTTTGAGGGCTTTCTGAGAGCCTCTTGGAGGCCTGGGGCCTCTTGGGCTATTGGGGGCCTCTTAGGTGCCCCTCGGGGCCTTGTTTGGTTTTTCCAGGCAATGCAGTCTTTGAGGCCTCACTGCGACGTCTTCAGGCCCTCTTGGAACGCTTTCAGGCCGTATCTTGGGCCGTCTTGGGGCCCTCTTCGCCCGTCTCGGGGCCCTCTTAGGGGCTCCCGGGGCCGTCTTTGGGCTATCTTAGATTCTTCTGGGGCCGTTTTGGACCGTCCCGAAAGGGCGAGAACGTGAACATCTGTCAAAAACCGGTGGAACATCAATGGTGTTGGCATCTTCGTGCCCTCCTGGAGGGCCTACTGCAGCCCTATTGGGCCGTCACAGGGTCTCTTTGAGCTGTCTTGAGGCCGTCTTGGACCGTCTATTGGACACTCTTGGGCCGTCTTGTCATGGCGCCAACATCGCAGAGCGGATTTCGTTCGGAACACAATAGGATGGGCCCGGAGTGTCCTGGAGAATTTCGTGCCAGATTTCGAAGTGAATTTGGTGCTGATTTTTAATGGCCAGGATTGAAGACTAAAAAGCACCCACGTGAAAGTCACTTCGTTTTTCACTCGCCGTTTCGGGGTTGTGCATTGACAGAAATCCAAGCAAAAATCCGCTGCAGCACGTCTGCAAGGTCAGTGCAGTGTGTCTCGGAGGCATCTTGGAGCCATCTTCGAGGCATCTTGGAGTCATCCTGAGGACGAGCACCCTTGCCTGAGCATTTTCGGTGTTCGCACGGGTGGCTTAAGGGATGCACCGAGACCACACTGGGAACGTAGTGGAAGGGTTCAAAAGATTAGCGTTTGGCACGCTGGCAGCCCCTTTGTAAGCAACAGTAGAACTCGCACGGACTGAACTCGCACGATGCGGAGCTCGCACGAGGGGAACTCGCACACACGGAACTCGCACGGACGGAATTCGCACATGTGCGATTTTCGCCGCGCTTGGATTCGTTGAGCGTGGTCGCCCGTGCGAGTTCCGTGTCGTGCGAATTTCGTTCGTGCGAGTTCCGTCCGTCTGGGTTCTTTTCGTGACTGTTCCGTGCGTGCGAGGCTTGCGCGTGCGAGCTCTGTCCGTGCCGTTCGATTTCCGCTCTGTGTGAGGTACGCCCCGTGCGAGGTCTGTCCGTACGAGTTCTGCTCGTGCGAGTCCCGTCGTTGTCCAGAACCTTACGATACGCCCAGATAGCCCAAGAAGAGAATCCAGACAGGACCCCAGGAGGCCCCCAGAATGCCCCAAGATGGCCCCCAACAGCCCGCAGGACAGCCTCAAAAGATCACGATGATCCCCCCTTCTTCGACGTCCTTTTCCTAGGGCTCCTGACCGTCCTCCGTCGTCGTCGTCGTCCTTCTTCTTTCTCCTCCTCCTCCTCCTCTTCCTCCTCTTCCTCCTCGTCCTCCGCTTCATTCCTCCTCGTACTTGTCCTCTTCCATTCCTTCTCGCCCTCGTGCTTGTCTTGATACTCGTTGTCCTCTTGCTCCCCTCGCTGCCCTCCCCATCATCTACACTGTCATCCTCGTCATCCGCCGCCTTGTCGTCGACATCATCCTTGTCTTCTGTCCCCCCCTTCAGCCGAATTTGCAACATCGGCGCTTCCCGTTCTTGTCCGATCAGGTTCTTCTATCAGCGGAAGAATAATTCCCACAACATGCGCACTCACCAAGATGCAGTCATTTTGGGTGCGTTTCCCAGCACCCGTTTTTGCGAGGTAGGCGACGTGTCGCTTCAAAGGCCAGTTTCCGCTTTGCCTACCAGTGCAAGCCTTTCCGAGGCTCTTACGTTTGGGATCAGACGCATTTTGCAAACATGTGGATCGATACATGTGTCTAGGCGAACGAAGACAGAAAAGAAATATCAGTCAGATGTAAATGCAGACAGATATAGAAACAGGGACGCGGACAGTGGCAGAGAAAGAGGTTGAGGCGGAGGCATGCACATGCTGTCATGCAGAGAAACATACCGAGTGGCACTCCTGCTGTTGACACGAGCCAGCTCAGCCTTTCTGAGCAAGCGCAGAGGTCCCCAAACCACCAGAATTGATGCGCCGACTTTCAATGCGGATGTTTAGACTTTCACTCGGAACAATTGCCGTACTGTTGGAAGCCTGTGGTTCAGCAAGGCATTGGGCTTTGGGGAGCCGACTTGACCTCTTCGCATGTGCACTGGGCCAGGATACTTAGCCTTTTGAATGAGAGAGGGAAGAGAGAGAGAAAGAGAGGGAGAGAGAGAGAGAGAGCGAGAAAGAGATAGAGAGAGGGAACGAGAGCAAGAGAGAGAAAGAGGGAGCGAGAGAACGAGGGAGAGAGAGAGAGAGAGTGTGTGACAGCGCGAAAGAGAGAAAGAGAGAGAGAGAGAACGAGAGAGAGTGCGAGAGAGAGAGAGAGAGAGACTGTACTGGACTGCCACCTGGAGTGCCGAAGTCGTCCGGACGGACACGGGCACTGCCGGCACGCCTCCCGCAGAGGCAGGCGGAGGTCCCGAGGCGGTGCCCCGCAGTCGAAGCCTCACTGCCCGGCGAGCCTGCCGCGGGACGCGGCACAGCGGGCGCGTCGCCTGGGCCCATCCCGGTTCCGAGTGTGGTTTTGGTGGTGGTTTCGGCGCCCTTCTTCGGGAGGGGAAAGAAGAAGGAAACCGAAACCGGAACCGGAACCAGAACCGGAACCAGAACCAAAACCAGAACAAAAGAGCGCCGGAAGAAGGCAAACGCAAACCGGAACCGAAACCAGAACCGGAACCAAAACCAGGACCTCGGGAGCCCCTCGAACCAAAGAAGAAGAAGGAAACCGAAACCGGAACCGGAACCGGAACCGGAACCAGAACCGTGACCTAGGAGGCATTCTTCGGGGCGGGGAAGAAGAAGGAAACCGGAACCGGAACCGGAACCGGAACCAAAACCATGACCGGAGGCGCCCCTGGGCACCGAGAAAAAGAAGGAAACCGGAACCGGAACCAGAACCGGAACCGGAACCACGACGACCGTCTCAAACGAAAAAAAAAGAAGGAAACCGGAACCAGAACCAGAACCGGAACCAAAACCGTGACCTAAAGGTTTTCTCTGCGGGCGAAAAAGAAGAAGGAAACCGGAACCAAAACCGGAACCGGAACCAAAACCGTGACCTGAGGGTCTTCTCTGGGGCGGAGAAGAAGAAGGAAACCGGAACCGGAACCGGAACCGGAACCAAAACCGTAACCTGGAAGGTCTTCTTTGGGACCCCGAAGAAGAAGGAAACCGGAACCAAAACCGGAACCGGAACCAAAACCGTGACCTGAGGGTCTTCTCTGGGGCGAAGAAGAAGGAAACCGGAACCGGAACCGGAACCAAAACCAAACCGTAACCTGGAAGGTTTTTTCTGGGACCCCGAAGAAGAAAGAAACCGGAACCAAACCAAAACTGGAACCAAAACCGTGACCTTGGGGGGTCTTTTTGGGACCCCGAAGAAAAAGGAAACCGGAACCAGAACCGGAACCGGAACCAAA